AAAGTGGCAGCTCCACTCTTAAGACATTTGAAATGTGTATATATGTCAAAAATAGTTTTAACTCCTACAAACAATACTGGTTGTGATTTTTGCATTCATTTGTGGCAGGTGGACATGTTGAGTGAAATTAACATTGCACCCCGGATTCTCACCAATTTTACTGGAGTGATGCCACCTCAGTTTAAAAAGGATTTGGATTCCTATCTTAAAACTAGATCACCGGTCACGTTTCTGTCTGATCTGCGTAGCAACCTACAGGTTAATTGGTTTGGCTTAAACTCTAAGCTATCTCTTCCATAGAAAGCACTTTCTATGCATGATCCTGTATTTAGTCCATTTTCAGCCTGATTTTAAAAACATCATGTCATCTTTATTAATTGGATGAACTATATCACTAGTTCATTAGTGACAAAACACTACAGTTTTGGATGAAGTAACCAGAGTGGTCTGTTAAGAAAAGACCACTGACAGTTACTGTTTGTACTCTTTAAGATTTTCCTAAATAAGTAGATCCTGGTTTAATTTGCTATATTGAATGACTTAAAGTTGTTTTATCTTTCTACACCATGGAGTCAAAACTTTTTCTTCCACTTATAATTGGGATAGTGCATTTTCTGCCTTTATAAACTTTACTATTAGAGCATTATAATGGTTTCTGTTAGAACTTTGGCTTCCCAGAGAAAATCATGTTTCTGTACCAATACTGTGATCAGCTGTGTGTTGGTCAAGTAACAGTGTTTTGACATTTAAATCATACATGTAACAACGTTCAGAGCAATGTACCTTTCCTGTGGATATGTAAGAAGGGCTTAGAAATATTGACTCTAGAATCAGTCTTTTGTTGGGAGTAAGGTGGTTTCTGTTTTGCTTCTGTAGGTATCCAATGAACCAGGCAATCGCTACAATCTCCAGCTCATCAATGCATTGGTGCTTTATGTAGGGACTCAGGCCATTGCGCACATACACAATAAGGGCAGCACACCTTCGATGAGCACCATCACCCACTCGGCACACATGGACATCTTCCAGAACCTGGCTGTAGACTTGGACACCGAAGGTGAGTGAAACCAGCTAGTTCTGATTCAAGATCTCTGCTTTTTACCATCATCTGATCACAAAAATAAAAACTTTTTTTTTTTTTTTTAAATAGTGTGTGGTCACACTGCAATTCCTTTTCTTCCATTTCTACATCCCACCAGGGCTTTGAACACATACACATGTGTATGACATTTTCCAAGCCACTGGGACCAGGATTTGAACTACTGTCAGTCATGTGGGATCAAGCCTTTTCTACACAGGCTTAACTTCTAAGGGGCCGGCCCAAGCCTGACTTTTCTAGCATTTATTGACGCCTGTTTGCCAAGCAGTGTGTTAGATGCTGGGTATATAAAGGTGAATGAATTAGAACTTTCTAACCTGTTTTGCCAAGAGTTCATAGTACAGTGAAGGTTGCATATGTCCTGGTTGGGCTACATTTCTCTTGGTGCTCTTATGTTTATTTTTCAATAGATTTCCAGAGAGTGCGAACAAGAGAGAGAACAAGCATGTGCATGCAAGAGCAAACACCCCACAGTGGGTTATAGATCAACTCTTCTCCATTTCTCTGTCCTGTTAGGATTTGGGGCAGGCACACACATACGTGTACCTGGTGGGGTTGTTTGTTTGTTTTTCCCCAAGCTGTTGCTGGGGAACTTTATAGTCTTGTGTGATTCAGCACAGTGTTTACTTAAACCACTATTGCTGTGGAGCCAGCCCATCTGTGTTTATTCTTATATAATAGAGATGGCAATTAGGGGCCAACGAGCTACCGAATCTTACCATTTTAGCACACAGACACTTCAGAAAGGGTGACTTAAGAGGCTAATCTTGAGATATATGTATGCACGTATGCACAGCAGCTTGTTTACTGGTAGAGTGATTTGAAATGTCTTTTAAAAGAACTGAATACCATTACAACCAGAGTTCAGCAAAAAGGTCATCAGCCTTTAGGGAAAGTGTTTCAGTGGTAGCTTCACAAATGAATATTCTCAAGCAGAGACAGACAAACCCTGTTAAAGTGAAGAAGCGGACTGTGAAGATCTAAACTTTGGGGGAGAGGTTTGTTTTTTGTGTTTTTTTTTGTTTGTTTTTGTTTTTTTGCTTTATGGCGTGTATACTCGCTAGAGAGAGCAAGAGATCATACCCCAGGGGAGATGGCCATGCTGCATTCCCTTTTCCTCCACTTTCATCTCAAGATCTTGGGCACACATGTGCATGCACCCAGCATAAGGTTTAAGCCACCAGGTCCAGGACTCGAACTGCAGTCAACTACATGGGAGTCCAAAGACATAACCATTATGGCATCTGCTGGTCCCAAGATCAAAACTACTTGTGATAAAACATTTGCCTTTTTTGTTCTCATTCTGTCATGAGTACAGCGGGATTTTCTAGAAACTTACGTAGGAAATACAATACTGAAGCATATAGAATAGAAGCACTGAGTGAGATACAAAAGATCTGTAAAATGTAAAACAGTCTTATTTAAGCTTTTTGGGGTGTGTGTGCACGTGTGTGCATATGTGTATATACACACATAGGTGCAATTGTTGGGGGCTTGTGGAGGGACTCTCAGCAGGTCTTGTCACACCACAATCCAACTGTCCCGTTTTCCAGTTTGGCACCTGTGAATTAATCTGATAACTTTATAGGCCAGCCTTGGAGGTGGGGGGGGGGGGCTAAATCCACAGTTGGCCATATGGCTTCCAGCCTTGCAGGGCACCACAGTGACGGGGCCTGGGAAAGTATCCTTCCTATTAATGTGCTATTTATGGTAACATCTACAAGGAGTCTTTTTTGTTTTAAGCTTTTTGCCATAGGATGTATTTGCTTGCCTGAGTGAGACAGAGAGAGGGAAAATGAGAAATCACCCCTCCAGGGGAATGACCACACTGCAATCCCGTCTGTGTGTGTGCACACATGTTTGTGCTTGATATGATTTTGAAGCCACCGGGTCTGGGACTCGAACCACGGTTGACAATGTGCAAGTCTGTTGCCTTAACTATGACACCACCTCTGTTCTTTAAAAATTTATTTTTGTAATCTTCCCTTTTTTACTGTGAAAAATACTAAAATCAGCCCCACAGAAATGAAAATTCTCTGCAATCCTTGGAACTATTGATTTAAAACATAGAATAATTTGAAAGCCTCTTTCAGAAATTCAAACCATAGCCAGTCAGAACCGTGTGTCTTCCCATATTGGCCTTTCAGAGCAAATCCTAAATCAGGTTTTAATTTCCAGGTCGGTATCTCTTCTTGAATGCAATTGCGAATCAGCTGCGGTACCCAAATAGCCACACTCACTACTTCAGCTGCACCATGTTGTACCTTTTTGCAGAAGCCAACACTGAAGCTATCCAGGAACAGATCACAAGGTAAAGTTTGTTTTTCAAATGATTTGAAGTGGTGACACCATCCGTTTTCATTTGGAATTCTTCCAGTGTTCATTCGTCACCATTTACTTGTCCAATAATGTGGGATAGAGTTATGAAAAAAGGGAGATGGTATCTGTCCTTCATTAGATTTGATGGGCACATAAAACTTTATAGATTTACAGATTATAATCATTGCTGAAATAAAGATACTTGACAACAAAAGGCACATTTTAATTGAAGGCCAGGAGTTTTCGCCAGAGCTGTGAATCACAGGCCTGTTGATCATACTTGTGTTTTCCTAACTATAGGGTTTCTGTTGCAGAGGTAGCTTTCAGTAAAAGAGAAATGCATGTATTTTAAAAATTGACCCAACTTTTGAAACTTCCCCATTCACTTAATACCCATGGTGCTTAATATAGTATTCCTTAGATTCATAAACCATTGTTTTTGGATGCCTGGATGGTAATGTCCCAGTGTGTTTGTAATCACACATAAAGCAGTCAGTCACTTTGTACTGTTAGGTTTTTGCTATAGAGACAGAGGGGGAAAGTGAGAAATCACCCCCCAGGGGCATGGCCACCACAATCCCTTCTCCATTCTCTTCCTGGGATTTTGGGTAGGCGTGCATATACACCAAGTGTGATCATCAAGCTGCTGGATCTGGGGCTCAGACCATGGTCAGCCATGTAGGAGTCCAGTGCCTTCACCATGCCACCTGCTGGCCCCACCTTGTACTTAATTTTTGTTCTTGGGCGTCCTTATGTCCTTGGGGTAAATTTAGACCAACAATAATTAAGGTAATATTTACTCCCATGCAGAAAAATTTTACATATATATGTAAAGTAGTGAAATGGATACTTCTGGTGTACCATGTGCTCTGTGGGTGTTTTGTGGATCCCCTCCCCCCTTATTCTAAACATCTTTGAGATAGATACTGTTATCCTTACTCTGATTCTTAGTCTTCAGTCTGGCTATATTTCTAATCAAAATCCATGCTATATAGATTGTAGAGATTAGTCTACCCATCTTAAAGACAAAAAACTTACCTATTCACTTAGTAGTAGTACTTGTGGTTTAATAATCAGGGAGACAAAAAAGAGTAAAGGAGGACTAGTTATGAATTTATGTTTCTCCAAGCATTAACAAACCCTTTTTCTCCTCTAGGGTTCTCTTGGAACGGTTGATTGTAAATAGGCCACATCCTTGGGGTCTTCTTATTACCTTCATTGAACTGATTAAAAATCCAGCGTTTAAGTTCTGGAACCATGAATTTGTACACTGTGCCCCAGAAATCGAAAAGTAAGTTAAAAGCAACTTTTAATTGTCTAAGAATGAGACAGGAGAAAAATGAGACAGGGCAACAAATATCATTTGATATCTCCAGCTTGGGTCAATGATTATGGTGGTAGTACTGAAAGCAAACAAGATGAGCAAAGTATTGTTAGGTCTGAACTGTTCTCTTAAATTTTAATTGTTCCATTCTTCAGGTTATTCCAGTCAGTGGCGCAGTGCTGCATGGGACAGAAGCAGGCTCAGCAAGTAATGGAAGGGACAGGTGCCAGTTAGGTGGAACTGCATCTCTGTTGTACATGTGTCAGCCTGGAGATCCCATTGCACCAAGTTTGTAAACTGACTGAAGAATTCTTTCAGCTCTTCCTGACTCCCAGCCCTGGCTCTTGGGTTTCTGGCCCAAATACTATTGGGGTCAGCCTCCTGTCTATATGGGCACGTTCCAAAGTTTAAATGCATTTTTTTGACTCTTGGCCAAAATTTAGAAGATGCTGTGAATATCATTTTGAACTTGTGTAAATATATGAAAAAGAAAACCTTTGTCTGGAACTTCTTGGGTTTGTGCAAAATGTGTCCAAGGCAAGTACATAAACTAGTACCTTGTAATAAAGAGGCAGCTGATTTCATGCATTTGTCTGAGGACATAGCTCCACTTCTGACATTCCTGGTTTCCCAAAGAATAGCAACGGCCAGTTTAAGTATTATGTAACTTATTTTTAAAAAAGCACAGGGAGCCTGAAAATCTCTTAAGTTATTATGCATGTCTTAGAATTGAACATGTCAGGGAACAAAAGAAGGGTTCTTGACTGACTAAGAACCCATGGGTTTTTGTTTTGCCTCACCTCAGAGTCATTTCTAAAGCTGACTGTCCAGAGATCAACAGTTGTACCAGCTTCTCCTTCCTGTTGGAAAACAAGACACTTTGGCCCTATGAGATTAGGCCTAAAGCTCTCCCTAACCCTCTTCCAATACTTATGAATTGTGGGGAAAAGTCTTCAACTCAAATCTTTTCAACTGTCCTATCTCATTACCCTACTGAAAGACCACACATGGTAAGCTGAACAGCAAAGTCAAAAGGACCAATACAGCCCTTTTTGTAAAGATACTGAATGTTTTGTAAGTATATTGGTCTCTGTGTTTTATTTTGTAACCTTTTAATACCTGGGCTTTCAGTTCCCCCACTTGAACGTGTATACATGCCGTAGTTAAACACTGAAGTCGTGACACGTGTGAATCCACTGTGCCTTTCTCAATAGCAGGAGCCTAGTGCTGGAGGTGAGAGGAAAAGTGGACAGTTCAGCTTTGTAAAGACTAGGGCCACAGGACATACCAGTTTCCTGACAAATGACAGACCTTTTCCACCACTAAGCTTGCATGTTTAAAACCACCACATCATTTTGTACAGTGTTTTTCTTTTCAACAGTGAAAGACTGATGGATTTTTTTTTTTTTTTGGGTGGTTAAGACTGAATTACAAAAATGTCCATGTTTACTATTCTTTTCCCTTGGGTGTTTTTGTTTTTATACTTTTAAAAGAAAATGAGTAGATATATAGTAGATATATATTTAAATCATCCCACATATAATTTATACCTTGATGATCAAAGTTTTATGGCCACAGAAGACAAACTGGTTCAAAATTAAATAGTTGAAATCTTACTTATGAGCGGGGACTTGAAAGTCCTTGTGGTGTCTTAACATTTATTCCCTGAAGGGAGAGCTGCGTCATCTACACGGAACTTCAGGCTGCTGATAAAGTAGCTGAAGGAGGAAATAAAGCAACTGCGCTCATCCAGTGCCAGTTACACAGCTCACTCAAGTCCTCTTACTGGAAATGGTCTTCACAAAAGGTTAAGTTCTTCCTTAAAATAGGCCTCGATTTGCACCAGGTCTTTCCTCCCCAATCTGTTACTAAATGCTAGAATACAGGACAGTGTATTCACATGTATCTCCTGGCTTTGACTGAAACAACTATTAAATGTATTCTTTAACAAATTTGTAGTGATTCCCAAGTCTGCTGTTCCCAGTCCTTAAATGTAACTTTTGCCACAAAGTTAATTCCAGTATGACACTTGCACTATTTTTCCTGCTGGTAATTTATTAACTAAAAGATCCAAATTACCTCTTTCCAAGCATCAGTGAATATTGGTTTAGAATGAAGTTGTTACTGCTGTTCCTTCAGGCAACAAGGAGCTCCTAACTTGTCAATCCCAACAACTGATGTAAGATCATCTTCTGACCATAGCGAACCTGTAAAGCCTGCTGCTCCCTCCAGCTGAGTCTGGCATAGACCTCCTTATTACTGAGTAAATCTTGATCAGTTTTTAAGTCTGTGGCATAGGTTTGTAGGGTCAACAGAACACTGTCTCGAAGAAGCTGTCTCCAGGATGCTTTGAGCTTGGGGATGTTTGTGATTGTCAGGCTGTCCTCTTCCCTTTGATCATCTCCCCATTCATCCTGATCTTTAAACTCTCTGAACTCTTCAGCAGACATACACAGTACCTAGAAGCAACCATGGAGCCCTTTAATTAGGATGTACTACATTTAGTGTACTGCTGAAACTGATTTAAAGGAGACCCAGCCTGTCTTGGCAGCAGTTATTATAGGTGTCTTCTCCCTATTTCCCACATTTCCTCTCATTTTCTAGCTTTATGTTTACTCTAAATACTTAAGCTACTTCTCAGTAATTAAGTGGCCATTCTCAGCCCTTTACCTTTAGGGTGGCGGTCAGTTCCTCTTTTGTCAGCACCTCCTTCTGCCCAATCACAAAGGCTCCCTCTTCCCCTACCATCTCCAGTTTGCATAAGAAATCCCAGCGCTCATGCAATACCTGCCTTTCAGCTTCACCTTTTGTTCCTAAAAATAAAAAGAAACAGCATGAAAGTCTTGGTAATAATACACAAGGGATCCTCCTCCCTCAGTCTACCATCTAGACTACAAGATAAGTCAACTGCTATTTAGCAAAGCTGTTGTAACCTGAGGTAAGTATAGACAGCCACCAGTATCAGAAACCACCAGTATCAAAGACTGAGTTAAAGAGATACTCACTCTGTAATGCTGCTTCTCGAACTGTCACCATCTGAATGTCAGCTGTGTCATCTGTGTTGTCAGGATATGGCTCAACAAAACCATACATATGAATCAATTGCCAGTTAGCCATTTGTCCGTAAGTGTTGAAAATCTCATGGCCTTTAGGAATGGGCTGAGTGGCCACCATCCGAAGATAATTCTGGGGTGAAATGGATAAGCTGGGACCGTGCCCTTCCCAGGCCAGCCCCATGAAGATTTATTTCCGCTTAGGAAGAGCCTGCATCAGGTATGTTTCAGCCATGGGACTGATGCTGGACATAGCAACTCTCACGCTCCTTCCTGTTAAGACTCTGTGCTACAGAATGAAAGGAGTGAGGCTACCTTCAAATATGAGGTGGTTGAGAAAGTCATGAATAAATTTTTACATAGAAAAATATATGACTTTGCCAACAACCTAACAGCTGGCTTCATGTTTTACTAGGTGATTTTCTGCTTGGTTATTCTCAGCTCTTAAAAGTTGCTAGGGTTGGTTTTAGAGAATTTTTTGTTTTGTTTTGATTTTTTTTTTTTTTTTTTTTTGGTGGCTATAGGGTACATGTGCTTGCCTGAGAGACTGAAAGTGAGAAATCACCCCCCGCCCGGGGTGGGGGATGGCCACATCACAATACCTTCTCCAGTCTCGGGATTTGGGGAATGCACGCACATGTGCCTGGAATGAGTTTAAAGCCACCAAGGCCAGGACTCTTAACTATAGTTGACTATGTGGGAGTCCAGTGATGCAACCATCACACCATTTGCTGGTCAAAAAAGTTGCTAGGCTTTAAAAGTACATCCAGATCAAAGCAAGAAATAGAGGCAGAAATTAAGCAACATCACATTTACTTTCATTGGGGGGGGGAGATATTTTTGCTACAGGGCATGTGCACTTGCTAAAAAGACAAAAGTGAGAAATCACTCCCCCCCCCCTGGCCACACCACAATCCCTGTTCCATCCTTGAGATGCCTGTGGGCCCAATATGAGTCTAAGGCCACTATGTCAGGGATTTGAACTGCATTTGGCCAGCGCCTTAACTGCTACACCATCTGCCCTAAGTAGGGGCCAATTTTAAGTACAGTACTGGTATAAAACAGCCATAGTCATAGACCGGTGACCTGTGAACATCCCCACTTCTGAAATCTTTCCTCCCTAAAGGTACCGAAACTAGAGCTGTTTCAGGCTGTTGTGCACAGGGTTTGCACTGAGCAGCCAGTGGGGAAGGAAACATGGCAGACCACCTAAGCAAATAAGTTATGGTACTAGAGTTCATGAAGGATTAGTCACAACGTTCCTTGAAGACTTTAAAATGTAATTCTATTGCATGGCACACAGCTTGTTTCACCTACTCATTTTCAGCATTACTAGGAAAGTGGAGCCCAATGACATAATGGTTTGAATCAAATGCTCAGTCATCAATACACATAATAAGGACTGAGGGTCAGCCTATGGTGTGGTGATCGAAGTGGCTGGATCCAAAATGATCAATTGTGGTTGGAGTCCTGGACCTGGCATCTTGAAAAACAAGCCAGGTGTGCATGTTCTAAATCCTTACAGGAGGGAGAGATGGAAGAGAAGACTGTGGGATAGCCATTCCCCCTGGGGTATTCTCACTTTTCCTGTCTCTGGTTAGCACATGTGGCCTTGTCAGATTTAAAAATAAAAAACAATTTAAAAAATAAAATTGGGTGGGGATCAACTCACTGTAGAGTATTCTAGATTGGCATTGTGATTGGCCAAGTGGTTTAGTATGTCTGCAGCTGGCACCATCAAAGGGGAGTTTGGCTCCTTTTCATCCTCCTCTTCTTCCAGTGGTTCCTGAAAGCTGCCAGAGAGAACATGGCTAAGACCCAATCTTGGGCGAGGACGGGTGGGTGGAGTTCACATTCTTCCCCCTATTCTCAACAGGGTTCTACAGGGACTTGGTCCTCCAAAGCCCTACTCACTGACCTGTAGGCCATCACAAGGGCCACAAGCTGCTGGTAGAGTTCCAGGGAGCGAACCCTGGAGCTGAAGAGATCAGGGTGGGCTTCCATGAAGGGCAGCACGATGTTGTGGTACTCGGTGCAGATGTTAGCCAAGTCCTTCTCCACCGCCTCAGGTACACCTGTGCCCTGCAGCAGGCGCCGACGCTCCTCCTCTGGCCTGCAGCGACACCCCCACCCTGATTCCCTAAACATACCCTAACGGGACCGGTGTTGGGGGCCCTAACACGGACAAGGGTGGCTAGGGTAGACCAAGGGCGGCCCTCCCCATCCACCCCCACGGCTCACCAGAACATAGGATGCTCCAAGCGGCCCAGCTCTGGCCAGAGCGCAAAGTAGGGGCCCCAGGGAGAGGCCGAGGCCTGCAGCTCGTGGAGCAGCGCCAGCAGCAGTGGCACCCAGCCCGACTGGCTCTGCAGCGCACTTCGCTCTGAGGGAGACACCGGGCTGAGGGCACAGGTGCGGCCCCGCGGCCCCGCTTCGGCGCCACGGTGCGCCCGCGTGCCCACCTCGCTCCAGCAGGCCTCGGATTGAGCAAGTGTGCTGCGACAGGAGCGCGGCCCTCGGTACCGCGAACAGCAGCTCCCCGGGCTGCAAGCTCTCCCGGGCCACCATGCCGTAGCCGGCCACCGTGCCCTGCCGGGTCACCGCCACCTGAGCAGGGGAGACGGCCGGTCAGAGCAAGGTAGTGACTCGCTGCGGCTGCTCCACCCCACCGGCCACTCACCTTAGGACTCAGCTCCAGCCCCACCCGCCCGCACCAGCTCAGGAAGCCGGCCACCGGCTCGGGTTCGGGCTCGGGCTCGGGCTCGGGCCCCGGCTCCGCACCTCCGACGCCCGCTGCTCCCGCCACCTGTGATAAGTGAGCTCCATGACGAGGCTCCGCCCCGGAGAGCTGGCTGAGGGCGGGCGGACCAAGGGCTTTCGGGAGCTGGAGGAGACGCCCGGACCACAGTAAGGAACCTGCGCCAGGGAGCAGGCGGCGCACGCGGACGACACTGCTGCACCGCAGCAATGAGGCGCGGTGGAGACCAGCGAGCCCTGCACCCGCCGCCCGCCACTCACCCGCCGGCGTTTCGCTCGGGTCGCCATGGTCTGAGTGCTCCGCCCAGCCAGCCCGCCCGCCCACCGCGCTGGCGTTTCCGGCGCCCGGCTCCGCCCCCGGGGCGGGACTCTGACGGGGCCGGGGCGGGGCCTGAGGACCTGGCGCCGGAATCGAATGGGGCTGTCCGGAACCCACGCCAAAGACAGAGCGTTTGCACCAAGTGGAGTTCGTCCTCCTGAAAATACCTTTCTTGAGTCTGGTGTCCCCAATAGGACTTAGAACACGTGCGGCCCGAGTGCAGAAAGACGTGTCCCCGTCCGTGCCACCTTGAGTCTGGTTCCGAGTCAGGCACAGCCCTTCCCTGGGGTCTGCAGTAAACTTGAGGACGTGCGAACAAAATACGGTTTCTAGGCTTCTGGATCTGAAGCCGAGGGCCTGATGGCTGGCCGAGGTGAGCGCACCCCATGTGGGTAGCCAGCCGATCTTGAACCCTTGTTACCGACGGTCATCTGACCATGTTGTTACTTACTTGGTTAGAGCAGTTTGTGTATTTGCTTCCCAGTGGTGTGGCCTGGGAAGCCCAGATCTAGAATAGCCCCGTTTCCCACCTTTGTAAAGCTCGTGCTGGGTTTTATTTTTACTACCGTGTTAACTGACACGTAGCAGGTTAAAGAAGGAAGGAAACAAATAGTGGTTAAATTTAAGAAAAGGAGCCAACAGCGTGGCTTTTTTTTTTTTTTTAAGAATTGTATTATTTTTAATTTGCTATGGGGCACGTGTGCTCCTCAAAGAGAGAGACAGAGAAAGTGAGGAAGCATGTGGGAGTCCAGGCCTTAACCACCTGCCAGCCCCTCAGCATGGCTTAATAGGGTAACTCCTTATGAAGCTGTTTCCTCAGCTGTGAAACTGAAATAGTACCTACTCTGTGGATGATGTAAGGACTAGTAAGATAATGTGACAAGTATTGGGGTACAGAGATGTAGGGAGACAGTCTGTGCCCTCACTCGGCACTTCAACCCTATCTAAACCCAAGAAGCACCAGCCGGCCCATCCTAAACATCCTCGCCGAAAGCCTCCCACAATAGGCCTGGCATCCACACACTCATTGTTCTTAGATTCTTTATTAGTTAACTCTTTCTACATTGATAAGGGTTTTTATGTGTTTTACATTTTTCATCGCAAAGTCTCATGACATCAGCTACCAGAATACACAAAATTAGGCTCTTTGCTCTGTACAGAGAGAAAAATAATAAATGTCATTAAAAGTTCACCTTGACCAAAGAGACAACCTCCAATGGAAAACCACACACAGAAGGACCCAATATACATATATTTATATATAATGTATAGATATTTATAGATATCTCATTTGAAAGAACACAGCAAAAAAGAAAAGAAAATTCCAAGATTTGCAGCGCTATCTACAGGAAGGGGGATTAATTCTACCAGCTTTCAAACAATCACATTCAATATTCAAAGGAAGCACGTTGAGTGGATAGAACTGGGGCAGACTAGCACTCCACCAGGCTCTAGAGTAGTCTAGAAATGGCGTGAGATTATAGACGGGGTGACGTGTCCCTTCCCCTCCACAGTCCATGTTCTCATTGCCCTCTCTCCCCTCTTTGCTGGGGGGTTTGTGGTGATGGATTTAAGCTCTCAAATAGCTCTGGTTTCTGGGCCAAGAAGTTTCCTGCCTGGTCAGGTGGGTGGGCAGCGTACAGCGTAGTCCTGAGCTGCAGAGGGCAGGAGGGGTCTGGGGAGTAGGGGGAACCTCTCCTCTGCCTGGCCCTCGTTTGCTTCAGGATCCTTCAGCTTCCTCCCAGGACCCAGCAAGCCCCAGCCTGCTCCACCGAGAGCAGGCCTTGGACCAGTACTGAAGTACCCTCTTCACCTTAGAGATGCCTGTGGGGCGCGGCACAACCTGACCAGAGCTCTGCCTAGAAATGCCACCCTGCTGCTCACTGGCATGTCCTCTGTGGTACCTGGGGGCAAAAAAGGGAGCTACAGGGGCTCTCAGCTACCCCTGCCTGTGGCCACCTGCCAGCTCCTGAAGACAAGTCACGGAGATGTTCCTGGGACTGCATACGACATGCTCGGGCCATCCCAGTCTTTTCCCTCAGCCTCTAGTTGAGTCACTGTGGTGACAAAGGACCAGGTGGTTTCTGCCTCAGGGAGGTCTTGGCTCAGAAAGAAGAGAGAACCAGGTGGTGGGGTATGTAAGCTGGAAGGGACAGTCTGGGGTTCATGCCTTAGGGTTCTCCAAATTCAACCTGTCTTTAGCCCCTGTCTGCCTGGCCTTCCAGCACCAGCCCCTACTCAGCACCGGAAACGTGGCTGCCCGGTCAGAGCACCCTCTTGTGGCTCTTGTCCCGATGATTGTCAAATAACCAAGATAGAAAAGGTGTGCTTGGTGGTGGGGCAAGAAGGGGCCTTCAGAGCTCCAGGGCTCTTAGGTCCCCCCGGCTTCCCGCTGCTGTGTCTTCTCTAAGCTGGACACCCGCCATCTCAAAACCCCTCCCATTTCCAACCCTGCCTGCCCAGGGCATGGTCCCATATGCTTTCCTGAATCCAGAAATGATTCTGGATCCTGGCCAGAGAAGGACACAGACTCTCCTTAACTAATCCCCTTTCTGTAGCCCTGCCCCGACTTTGCAGCCATGGGGAGCTGGGTGAGTGGGGTCCAAGTTGGCCCGGTGAACACACTGAGACGGGGTGGGGAGGAGTGAGCCCTCAAACCACCTGGAGACTGTTCCGCTGAAGCGCATCTAAGGTGAGTCCCTCCACTTTCTTTAAACAAAAGAGAAATAACCCCTTTTCTTCCCCTTCGCCCTCACAAAAATAAAGTACAGGGAAAATGAGCTGGCGCAAGGATGGCAGTGGGACCTCGGTGTGGCCTGGAGTCTTGAGTGGGACAGGGCTTCAACAGGACACTTCCATGGTGTGGTTGACCTGGCCCAGCCCCTCGCTGCTCTCGGAGTGGGTGCAAGCCTGCGGGCGGCCACCGTCCGCCGAGCTGGCGCTGGTGAGCGACGCGGTGCGAGAGCGGGCCAGCCGGGTCATGCTGGCCGAGGGCACTGTGGACAGAGACGGGGACGGGCGTGAGGACTGGCAGGCAGTGCTGGGCGCCGGCGGGCGGGAAGGACCACGCGAGCAAAGCGGCCAGCGAACCATTCTTCCAAAGGCACAGAGAAACCTGCCCCAAGCCAGGGCGCTGCTGTCAGCTCCATCGGCCGAAACATGCAGTGCCAGCGACAGTGGGTGGCAACAGGGGCTGGGACCAGAGAGCCCCCTCTCTCAGCAGCTGGCCAGAGCGATGGCCAGAACAGGGTGGGAGCTGGCCAGACAGCCTGGAGCTAGGGCAGGGATGTGCTGTGTGTCCAGCTTTGTCCCTCTCTAGAGGGTGATGGTGTGGAGGGGGCAGGACTGTGTAAGGAGGACACAGCATCATGACCCCTCAAGCCACCCTAAATCCGGTTTCTGTCCTTATTCAGTTTCACAAGCGAGACTTGCAGGGTGCAGAGCTCCAGCCTCCTGACCTGAGCTGGACTGCCTGGGCAGGGCAGGCCTAGGCTCTGTCGTGGAGGAGGGTCTGGTTCTAACTCACAGAGCTCTGGAAGCCACGCAGCCCAGGGCAATCTGGAAGCAAGACTGCTCTAAGGCCCAGCCAGTCCAGAGCCCCACATGGGACTGAGCACAGAGAACCAGGATCCACAGAAGAGCAGGAATCTTTGGGGTTTTTGAGTTGAGCAGGGCACAAGAAGTTTCCGAACCACAGCGAGACGCGACCTGCCTGCAGCATTGCACAGAGGGAGCGGGGAGGCCGGAGGGGGTGTCCATGCATGGGGAGGGGGCACGGGGCTACCTGCTCCTCCACTCAGCCTTCGGTCCTTCAAGTACGCAACTAAGAGAGAACACAGAGCCAGGGGGCGGGGCGGGGAGACAGAACACGGTGAAGAGCGTGCTCGCGAGGCAAGGGCATTGACACGGGCCAGGGTGAGACAGGACAGACGCAGGGAAGGCCAGAGCCTCGGAAAACCCACTCCTGGCCACCCCCAAGTAGCAGCCCCTGGAAAGAACCACAGCATGGACAAAGGGAGCCCTGGCAGCAGGGCGAGGTGCCCATCTCTCCCCAAGACTGTGGGCACCGAGGGGCTCATGTCAACAAGGCGCTGCGTGCCCTCAGCATTCTGCTGGGCCTCGGTCTCCCCGTATACAGGATGTGGGAGACCTGTGCAACCTCCAAAATCGCCCTGCCCCCACCAGGCTGCCTGGCGGTTTTCTCCTGAGGCCTCTAAGAACTGGTCCCGGCACTGAGGGGCAGCGCTCATTCATCTTGCAGTTTTCATAGGGTGTCTCTGTGTGCAGGGCTGGCCTCATGGATCTGGCTGCCTCCCCGCTGGCTCCCCACTAGCCAGCCTCTCCCCTTCCCCAGAGAGGCCCAAGGAATGCTATTCCTGGAAAGACCCCAGCCCTCCCAACAGGCCTGCCCTCCGTCCTCCCAAGGAGGTACAGCTCCAGAGGCTGAGGTCTTGGGGGAGGTATGTGCATGGGGGCAGGGGAGAGGACATACGATTTCTGGGGCCCACAGGCACAGTCTGGACGAGAGGAAGTTTGGAGAGAGGAGCGAGGGTGCAGCAGGATCTTGTCACACCCCACTGCCCTGTTACCTCAGGGTCTTCAGATGTGTTCCACCCCACCACCCCACACCAGGTCCGGCTGCCATCCGCTCTCCTAATGCCCAGATGGTTCCACCTGCCTCTGCCAGTCCCTCCACCCCCAGCCCACTCCTACGACACCACTGGGTGCCATCTGCCACCTGTGACCACGGGCCTCCCCTGGTGCGGTAGGCTCAGCAGGAGGTGGGTGGTGTGTCTGACACCCTCAGAAGCTTTCCCTGGCAGGGCCAGCTCCAGGCCCTGCACCCCAGCAAGCCGAGCACCACCCACTTCACAGGGCCCTGAAGCCCAGCCCAGCACTGGAGAGCAGTGCGGGATGCTGAGCTCAGCTCGGCTGGAGTCTGGCCAGAGCAGCCCAGCACCTGGGCCCAGGGAGTACTGATCTCACCCTGGGCACTGTCTCCCCTGCCCACCAGTCTCTAAGTTGGGGCAGGAGGGTACTTACTGTAGCCCATGCCTTGCAGGAAGTATTTGAAGGCTTCCGTCAGCTTCCCTGGCTGCAGAGGGTGGGAGAGGTACGTGCTTTAAGTGGCTGCCCGGGTGACCCCGCATAGCCCCCAGCCCCGGCATGGTAAAGATCAGAAGCTGAGAGTCTCACCTGTGTGACCTGGGGAAGCCCTCCGGAATCTGCCATCTGCAGGGGAGGAGCAGGGTGAGCTGAGCAGGGGCCCAACATACCTGACCATCCTGTCCTGCTCCCCACCTGGCTAGGACCCTCCCTGAGGTTATGGGAGGAGCTGGTCCCAGGCTGGAGGGGAGGCCTCACCTTCAGGAAGGTCGTAGTGGTTGGGTCCAGTTTGGAGTTGCACTCAACCTGGGGACAAGGAGCCAGCCTGAGTAGCCATCCCCAGCCCAACCACCAAGCGGGGGGTGCAGGGAGGCAGATGTAGACACCCCCCCCAGGCATCTCTCCCAGGGTTTCCCAGCCCAGTTAGCAGCCTGGGGGGGCCGAGACCTCTGGACCCCACTCAAAATGCCCCTGTAGAGGGCCAGGACCACCTGGCGGGGTTAGTCTAGGAAAGCCCCAGCGGCCACAGGCATCAGGCAGTGAGAGGAGCAGGTGCCAGGGGTCAGCAGAGACACTGGGGCTCTGCCTGGGTTGGGGGGCCGGCACGGCCCACACCGCTGCTCTCCCAAGCTCTCCCCTGGGCACCAGAAGGCATGGCACTTTCCCTGCATGCTGGGGACTGCGCTGGCCACCGTGGGTCCCCAAGCCTCCAGGCAGCTCTGTGCTAATGAGCGTACACACCCCGGGCTGCCTGCTCCCCAGGTTCCCGCAGGAGCGGTGACACATGGCCCCTAAACATGACCGTGCAAGTGATGGTCAAAGGGGCAACTGCCTTTGCACGTTGGAGCCACTTAATTCATAACGTGGCTTGGGCTTGGCCCGAGGTGACTAGAGACCAGGTGGGGGCTGGACTGCTGGGAGGGAGGGAGGCCGTGAGGGGACCTCGCCCAGGTCCCAGCTCCCTCCATCCCCAGGCCTCCCTCACCTACAGGATTGGGGTGTGCCAGGTGATGACACATCGCAGGATGGCGGGGAAGTGGATGAGAAGCCACCATCCAGTGCAGCTCCCTGAACCTGGGCCGGCCAGCGGCCAACCAGTCCCTTACTCTTCCCTCGCCCCTGCTGGACACGACGCCACACTCACCACTCCGTCCTCAGCGGGCGCATTATCCCCGACCACCAGCATCACGGGGCAGCTGCAGACACAGAGAAGAGGGATGTCTGGCCTGGGTATGGGCAAAGGTGGGGCAGGTGAGGGGCCGGGGGCACTCACCGGAGCGTCTTGGCATTGGGCACTGTTCCGGGCCGGTTAATGTCCAGGTCTCTGCGGCTGCGGGAGGAGGGGCAGAGGTGGGCATCCCAGGACCAGGCGTGGGGGTGTGACCCTAAGCCCCGCACCACCGCTTGGTGAGACAGGGAGCCAAGGCACTGCGCTGCGTAAACAGAGCCCGTGGGGCTCCCCTCGTGTGTGACTCTCTGGGCCCCCTAACACACGCCAGGCGAGCACTCAAATTTTGTTCTCTGTCTCCCTCGAGTGATGGGCACCACCTCCTGTGTAGGGGGAGTTTCTGCTGCTGCTGTGTCTCCGGGACCCTGTGGGACAGCAGGGCCAGAGTCTCTCAGTTTTCTTTGTTTTCCAGAACCATGCACACAGCAGGGGCTTAATCAATATTTGTAGGAGAAAGAGAAAGAAGGGCAGGTGAGTGAGGGGGCCTGGCCAACCCCCAAAAGAGTTCCAAGGAGCACAGCTTAAGAGTCTGGGCCTCAGGTGGCGTGGTGGCTAGGGGTGCTGGACTCCCACATGGCCAAACGGTTCATGCCCCAGACCTGGTGGCTTGCTTTCCCGCTTTCTCTCTTTCTTTCTTTCTCACCTCTCCCCAAGGTCAGGGCCGTTGGGGTCAGCAGTGTCACTAGCTTCCTGCAATGCTCCTGGCCAACAGTACCCCAAGGGAGAAGCAGAAGAGTCTAAGGACCCAGTCCAAAGCCCTATTCCCCCTCTGCCCCTCTGGAGGTGTGGCCCTGGGCAGAAGTGACCCTCTCCCAGGCTCAGTAACCTGCCCATCTACAAACTAGGGGAGCATGTAGCCTGCCCGGCCTCTTCCCATCAGGGAAGGAACACCCCAGCCCCATGGCACCCTGGGTCCTGGTGCTGCCAAGCCCCGCCCTGCCCCCACCTGTTGTACATGGT